ACAAAGTCAGGCATATGAGATGTTGTGGGTGCTGTAGGAAAAAAGTCATTAGCTCCTACTTCCTGTTAAATTGATATTCGTTAGCCTGATTATGATGTAATCTACTCCCACACTGTGGTATTTCTTTTCCTTTTAAATAAAACATTTTAATTTTTTAAAAATAGTTGTGATTTGAAACATGGTGGAGTTCAGAGAATATTGAGGTTTGATAAAATTGTGTTTTCTACCCAGAATAGTGACTGAAAAGGGGGCACCTTTTGTATATTCACTCAGGCCTGCTCTTTTTAGAATTTCAAACCAAAAGTAAAAGAAGTTTAAAGTGTGACTGATTTTGGTAGTAATTTTTTTTTAATTCCAAATTGAAATCCTTAAATGGTAGAAAGAGACCTCCTAAGGCCTGGTTACTTCAGTCTTAGCATCAACAAAAAAGTGGGTTGTAGGTGATATTGTTAAATGTGTCATTTATCTTTTGGGTGCTCTTTTTCCTTCTGGTCTACTGTCAGGTAAGCAATGTGAAATTAAGCTGGGAGGTATAGTCCAGAAAAGTAAAAAACAAAACAAAACATGGGTTAATGTAAACTGCAACTTGGGTATGAGCTACAATGGAGCCAAAAAGCTGATCTGTTTTGGGTTGGCATGTGTACAAAACAAGGGCATATATCCTTTCTGTACTCTACCAGTGAGTCATTTAGGTGACTAGTGAAAAAGATGAGAAAGTTGCTGTTTCACGTATGGCAAAGAACCATCCAGGTGACTAGCTTAGGCTGCTGCTACCGAGGCTCTTACACGGTGCACCAGGAAGAGGAGTCTTTGAGGTGATGGTTGTATAAGGTGAAGGGGATTTGGAAGGGTTAAAAGCTTATGTATGAATACATAGGAAAACAGTTTTTCCACAAAGGTATAATCTTCATCAGCATTGAAAACATTTTTGTCAAGGCAAGAAGAGATTTTTAAAAAATGAAAACTTAGAATTTATGTCTTTAAACGTTTGAGATGGGTTTGTTTCAAACTACATGAATGTGTATGAAACACGTGTCACTTTTCCATTAGAGAAACCTTGCATCACTTTTATGTGTGCACTTAAAGAGTTTTACTTTTTAAATATATTTTGAAGAGATTTTTTTTAAAGAGAGAGGATTTTTTCCATTCCTCGGTTCTGGATTAATTTTGAGGGAAAAAAGCTTCAAGCTTTCTCTTGGGAGCCCAATTTACAAATAGTTATGAGACAAGGTTCAACATGAAGAGAATTTCAGACGTGGATCGGAGAAATCCTGAAGAAAGCATTAAAATACAAAAGGTTTACGGGAGACCGGAACCTACAAAATAGGGCTGTCACGAGTCATGGTTTAGAATGGAAGTAACCAGTCATCACTGTTCATCCCTCGGCACAAGCCCCTTTCTGGTGGTGGCCCATGAAGAGTTGGCTTGTGTGTTATCTGTTTTCTATTTTCAGTAACTATATCAAATGCTTTCCTAATACCACCATGCAGGAAAGTGGTGCAGCTGGATATTACGTTACAAATCGATGGGGATAGTTATGCAAGGTTAGAGCTGTGATTGGAAATTTTACCTTCAAATATTGTTTTCAGTGAAAAATGCTGGTTTTGGCATACTTCAGGCATTTCAGAGGGCATCTCATTTTGATGAAAGTTCCTGCTTTGCTTCAAAACAAATCATTTTAATTTTGGCGGTGTTTTGAAGTATTTTATAATTTTTATTATGTTTTGTTTTTTAATTGGAATGGAAACATTTAGAAATGTTGATGTTGCCTGTGAACTAAGATTTTATCTGTTGCCCAACTGCACGCACAGTCTCTTATATTAAGAGATAGTTTTAAAAAACCAACCTGGGCTCTGGTCGTAGAATGTTTTTGTTACTGAAAAGCAACTAAAGCATTTAAGTAAAAGCCTATGCTAGCATTATTCTGTATTCTCAGTCTCTCTCAGGTAAGCACTCTCAGGTCTTTTTAATTATTTTACATCTTAGAACTTAACAGTATCTGCAGATTAAAGCCGATTTAGAAATAAAATTACTTTCATTGATGTTAGGACCTTCTTTTTCTTCTCTTGGAGAAGAAGCTATGTAGTGCATAAAATGGAAGGCTATAAAGGTATAACTTGTAGTAACAGCTGTATAGGCTTAGTTTGGTGGCCAAAAATTTGCTTCAATCAGTGCCTGGTGCCTTCTTATGTGATAGCTGTGTCAAAGCTTGTTTTTGAAAATAGTTTGGATGGTATATTCCACATGGATAAATGCATAGAAAATTTTGCAGGAATTCTGCAAAAGCATATTTGGCAAAACCGGATAAAATCAATTGCAGCATCCCTGCTTTATCTGTTGTTACCCACTCTGGTATGGTATTTTATTCAAGATGCAAATCTTTAACTGGCCACGAGCTGGCAGTCTGGCATCTGAGAAAAAGTTCAAATCTGCTGTAACTGTAAACAGCAACAATAGAAATGTATTGTTTCACAATCAGTAAAAAAAAAATCTCTTTAAACACAATGCAAGTGCACACATAGGCTTGAAAAACAACAGTTTATTGCTTGAGCTGATTTTAGGAAAGCTAAGACTGTAATAAGATGGCATAGTTTTATCCCTTACCCTCCCCCCCCAAAAAAGCTTTATTTATTTGAGAAATTTGTTATTTTCTTTGTGTTTAGCCTATCTGCTAACATTTGCTAATGTGCATCGTTTTCTTTCTCCAGAGTTATTTTCAAGAGAGACATAAACCATTGTATGCATTATTGGAGATCATTGAGGCAAATTAAGCTTTTTATTTACTGGACTATTACAGGCTAAGTAACCTTCCATTTTCAGAGGTGGGTGTATGTATAAAAGCAGGTGGTTAAACCATTTATGCTTCCTAACAACAGTCCTTCTGCCTTAAAAGAGGTTGTGAGGGGAGAATTCCAAAAATGAACACAGACACTATGTCTGTCAGAACAAAATGACACTAGAAATGAAGCAGAAACTGAAGCTGGAAAGGTCTGTATTTTTGCCTGGTTCAGTACTTTTCCCTATGGAGTTCATCACAAAATTTGTTTGTTTGTTTGTTAGTTGTATATGCTGCCCTCCCCAGAAAAGGCTCAGGGGAACTTGCAATAAAAAATAAATTATAAAAACAAAATATTAGGATAGCATGTAATAACCAACAGATCTTCCAAACAGTGCTCTGAAATGTAACCCTTTGCCAGAGAAGCAGAGGAAAATGCTACCACACCCCACCCAATCCTGAACCCCTACCCCTCACCCAGGAGTGTGTTCCTCCCAGCCAGCCCAACCTCACTTCCCAACCCTCTCAACCAATGTTTACTTCCTCCATTAAAAATAGATGCTTTTCCATACTCCTTCCCATTGCTATTACCATTTCTACCCTAAATTGTCTGCCATCCAACTACCTAGCAAAAAAAATCAGCCTCTATGGAATAACTGTTTAATTTTTATCTGTCCCTTAGTCCAATGGGAGCCAACATTTCTGGCAGGCATCCCACAAATTAGCCCCACACCCTCCCTGAGTGCTACTCCAGTCCCCTTGCCCATATCTCTTGCTTTGCTTTCTCCTTCCTGCTATTAACCCCTTCCCTGATCTGCTCTGCTTTGTCCTACCTGGTGGTGTGCTGCCTGTCCTTTCCGCTATCTGCCACATGCCAACGTGCAGAGGCTGACCATACCACTAGTGGCACTCCTGCCACAGGTTGGCCAACCTTGCCCTAAGCCATAGCATTAACTAACTAATACTCTTTGTAATAGTACATTTACACATTTTGAATAGGACCTTGACAATTTAATTGGTGACCATCCTCTAACTTCATATTTTCTAGAATTCATAGACATTAAGCTGGAAGGGACCTCAGAAGATCATTGAGTCCAGCCCCCACCCCCCCCGCCCAAAGGGCAGGAAGTCAGCTGGGGTCATAGGATCCCAGCAAGATAAGCATCCAATTTACTCTTGAAAGTCTTCAGTGTAGGTGCTTGAACCACCTCCGATGGCAGGCTATTCCAGACCTTGGGGCCTTGGACAGTAAAGAAATTCTTCCTCATGTCCAGCCTGAAACGGTCTTGTAGTAGTTTATGACCGTTCGACCTCCTCCTCCCTTGGGGCACTCTGGTGAACAAACGTTCCCCCAGATCCTGATGAGCACCCCTGATAAACGTATAGGTGTCCATCAGATCACCCCTGAGCCTGCGCTTTTCCAGGCTAAAGAGCCCCATGGCTCTCAGCCTGTCATCAGAAGGTCTGTTTTCCTGACCTCTGATCATGTGCGTGGCTCTTCTCTGGACTCTCTCAAGCTTCTCCACATCCTTTTTGAATTGTGGAGCCCAAAACTGGACACAGTACTCCATCTGCAGCCTCACCAAAGCTGAGTACAAGGGGAGACTGACATCCCAGGATTTGCTTGAGAAGCATCTATGGATGCAAGCCAGCGTTTTGGTCATTTTACTAGCCGCAGCATCGCATTGCAGGCTCATGTTCATCTTAGAAATTCTAAAATACTTTTTAAAAAATGTTGGGTTTCTATATGCTCAACATTTCTATTGTTAAGTTTTTAAATGTCATAATATGTTCATAAGAGAAGGCTAAGACTATCAAACGTGCTTCAGATGGGACACCTAAGAATCCAGTGTTTTTCAAACATCCACCTCAGTGTGGCTTTTAACTAGTAGGCTAATATAACTGGATACGCTCAATTTTCCATTTCCAGTGTGGTAGCCAGCTCTGAAGTCTCAGCTTTAGACACAAAAGCCTCTTTAGGCTTACATCAAACAGTCACATAAAATATTCAGAACACAACTGTTTGAGCAAGTGTCTGTTCCATGTGATTTTATCACATGCATCAATATTTATATTACAGCTCAGTGAAAATGCCATCCTTTTATGTCTTGATTCATTCTGGACAAGCCTGTATAATTCTGTGTGTAAAATCCCTAATGCAAGTGGATGTAGCAGCTCAACTGAAGGAAATACAAAAAGAAAAATATAGCTGACTTCTTAGCAATGCTTTTTTTTACTTGAAAATGAAGAAACTTCAAATTTTTTTTTTAATCTACTTATAAAAGAAATTAAAACACTTCATTTTAACATCACACAACATTTTTTATCCTGAAAAAATCGGAGGACAGCTTTCAGATTTATCAAGGAGACTGAAAAGCATAGGTGAAGCATTGGTATGGGTCAGAACTCTAGGTGATGTTCCATTGTAAGCAGCGCATTTCAGCTCATGACACTCGCGTTTCAAGGTATGACCTCTCTTGCCATACCTCTTTAGACACTTCAAAGAGTGTTTGAAAGTCAGATAGGCCAGTTCACTTACGTTTAATGCAATGCATAAGCATGAAGTTATACCACAAAAAAAGAGGAAGATTTTCTTCTCTGTAGGCTTGGAGATGTAGCAATCTACAGTATTGGGGCATGGTCTAACATCACATTTCATAAGGCGTGGTACATTAAATCCATCATACAACTTGTAAAACAAAACTAGAAAACCAATTTCAAAACCTGTTTTGAAAATTAGACTGATGAGGTAAGTGCACAGGAGTCCACCATCCATGTTTCCTAGGTTCTTGTAAAGTTTCTGGTTGTGCTTTTTCTCTCTGCTCTCACGATAGGCAACATGGAAAGCAACAAGAAGTGATGGGGTAGAAACCATGATCAGTTGCAAAGCCCAAAGCCTGATGTGAGAGACAGGAAAGAAGTGGTCAAAGCAGACATTTTCACATCCAGGTTGCTGGACGTTGCACTCAAACTCCTTCTGTTCATCTTTCCAGACATGTTCTGCTGCCACCATATAAACAAGCAGGCGAAATATGAACACAATAGCCAACCAGATCCGGCCCATTACTGTTGAATATTTATTCACTCCACTTAAGAGATCTCGGAGGAATCCCCAGCTCATTGTTTTCTCCTCTCAAGGAAGAAGATCAAAATGCTGTAAAATAAAATAAAATAAAGTAAGAAATTTCCCTCCATCAGCTGGTGGGGGGAGGATATTCAATCTGAGTCATGCAATATCCCTGATGTTTGAACAAGTCTAAAGTAAAGTTAAAGCACTGATTTCCAATTCACAGGGCAGATCTCAATCCTGATGATCTGTGCTTTCTCTGGCTGGTTCTCTTATCAGCTGTGAAGGACAGGTGTTGGAAACAGTTGTACCCAAACTGGTGTTGAGAACAGTATAGCAGAAAATGGAGCTCCCTGGGTGCATCTACACCAGATGCTTTACTGCGGAGCTGACAAAAATAGGAAGATGCTTATGGTATATTCAATAAAATGGGTGGAAAGTCTTGCTTTGCAAAAGTGTCTTTCATTTTCCTCTTTCACCCTACTATAATTTGAAATAAACACTTGTTTTTTGTTATCCATAAGATATTGATATTTAAGCACTTTGATTTTGCCTCAGAAAACTATGCCAGAGAAAAGGTGGGAAATAGGTTGCCACCAGTATTGTGTATGTTGCCTTTGAAGTTCTTGTGCAGAGTCGGTACTTGAAAGAATGCAGCACAAAAATGGGCAGTGGCAATGGCCATTAGGTTCTGGTAGTTAGAGGTCATTTAAATACAATAGCCCAGAACCTATTCACTTGTAGATGTCCAAGTCTACCAAAAAAGTGTGCATCTTGCCTCAGGAGAGAAGCTCTGTTTCACTCAGGGAGAAATGGTTCTTTCATGTACAGGCAGCCAGTAGTAGGCACAGAAGTATGTACTGTCACCTCTGATATACATCCTCCAGCGTGCAACAGGAAAGTGGCCCCAACTATTTTTTTACCTGTAGTTTAGTAGTTAGTGTACTCCCCTTGGAAGCAAAGGCCTTGGGTTCAAGGCCATGTTCACTCAGAGGGGTGGGTCCATATCTATCATTTAGAAGTTCCCTAATCCTGGAACAATGGATTAGACAGGGTTCTAGGTATCCTCAATCCCTCTTGACGCTGGGGCACTGGGCAGAAAGCAATGCATGAGCTACAGAGCCAGGAGAGCAACAAAAAGAAGCTGGACTATAGCCCACATTGGAAGGAAGGGACCTGGGTTTTGCTCCCTGCTCCCACTGCCTTTCATGCATTATGCATGAAATAGTCATTGGAATACAATGCAGCATTTCATATAAATCCATGTGGATGTGCACAATGTTCCATTTGCAGACAAGAATGGAATAAGAATTATTTCAGCATCCCCCATTCTTAACAAGATATATTCATATTCTAAAGAAAGTGCCTACAATCTTCTGGAAATGTTACTACTATGCAATACTGGTGTATAAAACTAGAATTCTTCACTATATGAAGTGTCACCTGGCATTTGTTAGTTGTACCCAATAGCAACTCTGTATCACATCACTCAACAGCCTGTGTGGGTCTTTCAAAAAAACCCATAATAAGTTGCATCTTTAATACTTTTGGCAAAAAATGCAGTCCAATAGGCAATTAGGCATATAAAGCCCCAAAATAAGAAGTGTTCCAGTGCCCAAATTTCTTTGAAACGTCCTTTGAAAATGGTAAGTTTTATTCCAACATTCATTTACCTTGGGCTTGTGATTAGTTACAGCCCAGGGAATTATGCTCAGAAAAAAATCAAAATTATGCACAGGAAAACAAGAATATGCAAAATTACTTACATATTTTTACAAATTAAACAACACTATTTGAACCTTCTTTAGAAATATATGCAGGTACTTTATATGATGGGGGTTGGGGTGGGGCAGATTTATGAAGATGTGGGGTTTGTGGGGGGAGTTGTGAAGGGGTGGGGTTAGGTGGGTGAGGGCCACAGGGCACTCATGGCCACAGCAAGAAGAGCCTCCAGCAGTATGCACATCTGGCTGAGTCTTAGTGCCTGCATGCCCTGGCATGGAGTTGGCTCAGCTCGCTGGCACATGCCTTTGCACCAAACTAGGCTGGATCTGTGCCAGCACCTGCAGATTGTGGCACTGCAGGCAGAAGCCATGTGCCATTGAGCCAGTCAGGCTTTGTGCCTCTGTGTGCAGCTTCCTGCTGGAAGCCCCATATGGAAGCACAGAGCCGGCCAGCCTGGCATGATGGTGTGTGGACCAGTAGCTGCATGCCATCAGGCTGGGTGGGCTTTGTGCTTCCATATGGGGCTTCCAGCACTCCAACAGGAAGCCATGTGTGGAGGCAAGCAGGAGCCCAGCTGGCCCAATGGCATCTGACCCCTTGCTTCCATGTGTGGCTGCCTGCCTGGCTGGATGATGCACAGCTCCTAGTCCATGTACCATCAGGCTGGACTAGGCCACCCTCCATTAGTGGCTTCCAGTACTCCAGCAGAAGCCACAGATGGAGGCACGGAGTCACACACCATCAAGCTGGGCAAGCGCTTGCTTGCCTCCACATGCAGCTTCCCACTGGAGTGCTGGAAACCCCCATGTAGGAGGCACTGAACTGGCCCACACCCACCCACAAACCCCAAGCCCATCCTCCACCCCCTGCAGGAATGAACTCCCCTCCCCACTTTCTCAGCTGTCCAGTCATGCAGCTCTGTGCCTCCACATCACGATGGAGGCACAAAGCCAACTGCGGTTAAATTATGGAAACGTATGCAATTGCACACAGTCATGTCTCATGTGCAAAATTGTGCAGGTGCATAGTTGCATAATTCCCAAGGGTGTAATTAATTTTGTTCTCTTACTTTCATCCCCTATCCACTTTTCAGCCTTTATGAGAGACTAACTGTCCAGTTCCCTATGAGAGGCTGAGGTATAGAATGCAGGCTAGAGTAGATGACTCAGTAACACCTGACTGGCTTCTATAAATTATTTGCTTAACACTAAAAGAGTGTTATAATTAGGCCAGAAGAAGCCATTGTGATCATCTGGTTTGACCTTCTATAATACAGACTTTAGGACTTCCTTGTATTAATTGTTGTTTGAACAAGAGCATGTCTTTTAAATTGTAAACGTTCCCAGTGATAGAGAATGTGTCACAGCCCTTGGTAGTTTGTTCCAATAGTTCATTATCCTAGCTGTAAGAATGTGTCCCTTATTTCTAGTCTGACTTTATTTTACTTTTGCTCCATCCATGGGGTATGGTTTTAGCCTTGTCTGATGGGCTATGTGGAAGAGCTGTCTGCTACCCTATTTCTCTCCCCACATAGATACTTAAAGATTGTGACCAAACGCACAGCTAGAAGCAACAATGTTCACCTGATCTGGCCTGTAAAAGTGCTCTACAGCCGTGACCAAACACAAGTGCATGGCTGAAAACCACTTTAAAGGGACCCAAATCCTGTGAGCATCTTCACATGAAGATGCTCCAAAATGGAGCCCCTCCAATAATTTGTGTCTGTACAGCCCTACTCCCAGCACTGTTTTCAGAACAGAGGGGGGAAAGGAAGCAGAAGGAGTTCAGTCTGGGGGTTTTTCAGCCAGCACTGGAGGGTGAGGTGGGTGGATTGGAGACCCCTCACCTTGGGGTCTGCAATTCACCCACCCTATCCTCCAGTGCCAGCTGGGCAACCTCAGAACAAGCTCCCTCTGTTCCTTTTCCCCAATATAATTGCTGATTTCTACTAGTAGGCAACCATCAATCCTTCTGGATCATGAAATATGCATGAGATGACAGTCACCAGGACCCTCAATGCATATGCCCAGGCAGGAATATGGAGTAGGGGGAGCTGCCCAGACCTTGTGTCCCTCCTTTAGACCATTGAGACAGTATCCAAAGGCCAGACTGGGTCTGACTTAGTTATACACACATTGGGGAACTGAACCCAGTCTCCCAGTGGCAAACAAGGATTCTATCCACTGAACCACAAAAAAATGCAGATTAACCTGGTTTTTGCAGATAGGCAATGCTAACCATCCGCACCTTTACTACCTTCTGTAAGATAAATATCCTTGCACCCATCAAAATAAATTTTTCCCTATCTCTGATCACGTAAGGCAGCATACCTATTTTAGATCTAGTTACCTTTAAAGTCAAATTTTGATATTCATAAAACACTTGGCTAATGTAAGAAAAGTATTACAATGGAATGTTTTGTTTTGTTTTTTTAGTAACTTTACAATTTTAGTGGGTGCCATTAAAGATGTTACCATGTTTAACCAAAAAAGCCATCAGGTTTTGATATTTCAGGTGTATGGAATAAGGTTCGTTTCCCAGATTCAAGTGTTGAGGGCAAGTTGCTAAACACTGTAGGAAGCTATCCAGTTTCCACTTTCTGGTATTCTAGAATACCTTTATTCTACTGGTCAGCTATTAGGCAGTATTTCAAGTAGCAAGAGAGAGTGTTGCCAAACTGCTGATTCAAAGTCCTCAAGAGAGGGCTGAATGAACAGCATGATAACATGCCCCACTTGCTTCTAAACTGGTTAAATATCACCTCCTGAATAATATATTCAAGATGATTTTATTATTGGATAAATTATTAATCAAATAACTGTATCATTCAATCAGGCATATAGGGATTGATTAATATGCACTGAATAATACACCCACAGAACAACATTATTCAAAGCAAATTTTATCCAGATTTCAACCAGTTTTATTAATGTAGTTATCTTCATAGCAGAAGAAGCATCTTTGTGCAGAAGAAAATTAAAAAAGCTGTTATAAAAAGTAATGCTTCAGCAGAAGTGGGGAACAGCAAGAGGAGGATGGGGATTTCATCATCAGTAAGGCAGGCAGGAAACACTGGCGAGCTTGTGGAAAGAATGAGAAGCATTAGTTCTGAAATAGAAGTGGGACTGCAGAGGTAGCCTGCTGACTCTTTTGTTCCTATCTGGGAGGGGAGGGCTCAGCTCACAAGCTGTGCATAAGAATTGGAACTGGCCAAACAGGCTGTGCCATATAGAGGAATTTTTTTCCTTGTTGATTATAATATCAGTGCTGTTCACTAGAAGACAAGGAATCTGCCTTTGTCTGACGGAGGAAGGAGACTGAGAAACTGTTAAAAAAGATGCAATGGGAGTTGTTAGGAAAAACTAAAAGCCATTGTGACATTTATGTAAACTCAGTAAGACATCAGCTTCACTCTGGAGACTGATCCAGAGGTGAGTGAATGATGTGGAGTTTGATCTGGTTCTGTTTTAAGTTTCTCTGCTTGAGTCCCTTAAAGACCAACTGAGAAATGTCAAGCACCGCCAAGTCCCATTAAAGTAAAACAAGAGCTGCGGGTACTCTTTGTGCTTACAACTCAAGCTGCCAACTTCAGTTTCTTTATCTAATATAGACTGTTTATATCCACTTTGGGTAATGCCTGCTTTGTAAAGATCAGATCTCTGGATGACAGGCATCATGGAAAGCAAAGCATAACATAGTGCCAGTAAATGAATTTTGTCTAGATTCTGTCATTGTTTGGATAGACCCTTCTTCATCATAAAATGAGTTAAGTTGCAGTCAGAAACCAAATAGCCATATTTATTGCTTTTGAAGCCTGTAGGAGACTAGGTAGCTAAAAATGTATTTATTAAAGCTCATTAGCAAAACACACAACTGCACTATACTTAGGGTGATCACATGTCCCAGTTTGGCTGGGACAGCACCAGATTTGGTAAACCCCAGCTGGTTGGTGAAAATGGAAACAGAAGTCCCAGATTAGCATCAGCCTACCTGCGCTGCCTGGCCTGGCTTTTCCAGAGCAGCACCAGGAGGCAGGCTGGGCAGTGCTCCTCCTGCCTAGGGCAGGGAATCGGTGGGGAGGGGGAAGGGAGGCAGTGTCCCAGATTTCTTTTGAAATAATATGGTTGCCCTAACTATACTACCCCTAGCAGATTATAATATGGCAGTGATGAAGGGCTCCAGCTGAGATAAGGGCCCATTAGTTTAAATACCTCACAAAGATGTGGTAAGAAATATAGGACCAGATTCTATTCCACCTTAAGTGTATAAGTGGATTTAGGTCCCTAAAGCACAATCCTATTCTCTCCTGCTCAAAATCTCACCCCTATTTAACACAAAAAGGTGGGTGGGTCCTCCCTGTTTTTTTGTGACTCACTTAAGAGTCTGATGACAGAGCGTTACAAAGGTAGATGCATTAATATGGTTTCAGTGACTTGAGAAGGGCAGAATAGAATCATACTTAGGCACAAAAATGCACTTAGGATCCCAATAGATGGAAGAGAACCTGGTCCAAAATCCGTGCTGCAAAGAATTAACCATCTGAACAGAAAAGACAATGGGTAAGATGGAAACAGGGATGCAGGGGTGGAGATGACTTATCCAAAAAGTCAATCATCAGTTCAGTGGCCAAGAGAGAAATAGAAGTGAGGTCTCCTAGAACCCAATCCAGTGTCTTGGTCACACAAACATACTGAATTATTGGCACCTTACCAATATTAGCCTCTTATTACAGCATGCTATTGTTAGCTTGTAAGAGCTTCATAGCAAGAACTATGCAGGGGAAGGCACATAGCACCATGCATTATCGAAGTACCAGAATGCATAATATACAACATTATACTAAAAACAGTTTTAAGAATTAAATATTTTAAAGCAGAATTGTCACATTTCCAAGAACTGTAAAATCAATAGCTGTTAAAAGTCCGTATGTGTGACATACAAAAGCATTAGCTTAAGACTATACCTCCCAGATCTGTACAGCTAGGGGAAAGAAAACCACACACAACAAACCAGGGGACACTGGCTGATCCTGTGGTTTTGTGTTGGACTAGGACTTGATTGATTTGAGGCTTTTTTCCAGCTCCATTATAGGCTTCCTGTGTGACCTTGCTGTGTTCCAGTTTCTCATCTGCAAAATAGGAGTAATAGTCCTTCTCTGCCTTGCTGACATATAAAATCGGGAGGATTGCCCCAGCGTTTTAAAATGGGACAAATTAATTACTGTAATACTAAATTTTCTTAAATTAAATTCTCCCTTCAGGGAAATTAAAACACTCCTGCCCCCCAGCCCCAGCCATGTGTTGCGAATCCCCTACATGTGATGTGCTCAGACATAACAGTGATAGGCAGCATTCCAAAAACCTAGAACAATGCTTTATTCAAGTGCCTGATTCAGATCTAGATTAGACACATTTTAAACAGCAGTTTAAATCTCTCTCAAAATTAACCCAGCCATCCTGCCTCCCCTATCAGCCCCTTTAAAGGGAGTTAGAAGAGCAGAATCATTTGCATGGAAGAGCTCTCTCAAGTGTGTCATAACCTTAATCATTCTTGGCATTCATTTTTATAGCTAGAAGCTGCGAAGTTCCAGCCCACTAACAGTTTACGCTTGCCTTTGACAGACTGCAAGCACCATTTAATAGCCCAGCAGCTGTCAGTGAAGATGGCTTGCCAGTTCTTCGACTGCGTGGTGTTTTTCCACATCAGAGAAAAAATTCTGGGGAAGAAACCACTCTCCCAGTACTTTTCTGTGTCTGAGTTAATTATGTAATTACATAAAGATGATACTTGAGATGTCTAGAATCATATAAAATATATTAAAAATAGTTATGTTGTCTATCTTACATCTGCTCATATGTATTGGAGTTCTCATTAACATGTGATCAAATACATAACCATACTACCTCTTGTTCTCCCATAGCAAAGAAAAGATACTGTCATAGTATATTCAGCAATGGTCCCAAATATTAGCAAGTGTAATTATACACTTTGGACCACTACTGTAATAGTTTTACAAAAGCTGTCAAAGGACAAAACTAAAGCTTACAATAATTAGTTCAAGACAACTTAGGAACATGCAGAAAAAAAATGAAATTGGAGTATGTTGACCATGTTTTTATATACAGTTGAATTGCAGTTGTAACAGTTTGTTGTTTATAAAGTATATCAGCAGTGCACTGGAAAACTGACAAGCTTATACTTCATTAGAATTATATCCACATTTTATACTTATGCTCTCACAAGACTATTTTCATTCTTGTTTTGACACAAAAACTTTCTTATTCAATAAAAACATAATTTATCACAACAACACAATCTCTTACCTGGACAACAGCAGGAGATTAAAATTGAACTAGCCTTTCACTAGTACCATTAACAGATTAAAGTTTCATTTCCCAGAAAAGGAGTTAGTCCTTTAAGCCTTGAAAATGGAGCCCAGTCGTTTCCTTGGCAGTATAATCTAAACAGGTGTAACCTGATCATTCATACCGTCATTATATTATACAAATAAGAACAGTAATGTGTCTAGTATTGTCAGGAAGCTGTATTATGAGTAAGTTGAGACTAGAAGCAAATATTTCAAGGAACACCTTGAGAGGCTGGATACCTTCAAGTCAGCCAGCCCTGACAATCTACACCCCAAGGTACCCAAGGAGCTGGCAAGCATCATAGCCCAGCCTCTGGCATGGATCTTTGAGACCTCCTGGCACTCCGGTGAAGTGCCCGAAGACTGGAAGAAGGCCAATGTGGTGCTGATCTTCAAGAAAGGGAGGAAAGTGGATCCGGCTAACTAGGCTCATCAGTCTGACTTCTATCCTGGGGAAGATGTTAGAAAAGTTTATTAAAGAGGCCATCCTTAATGGACTGGCCGACGCCAACATCTTGAGGGATAGCCAGCACGGGTTTGTTGCGGGTAGGTCTTGCCTGATCAATCTCATTTCCTTCTATGACCAGGTGACCTATCACCTGGACAAGGGAGAAGAGACTGATGTCATATCTTGACTTCAAAAAAAGCCTTCGATCTGGTATCCCATGATCAGATTTTGGCAAAACTGGCCAATTGTGGCCTTGGGTCCCATGATCCGCTGGCTGGAAAATTGGCTCCGTGGTCAGACCCAGAGGGTAGTAATTGACAGAAGTCAATCGTCATGGTGTCTTGTGACCAGTGGGGTCCCCCAAGGCTCTGTCCTTGGACCCATATTGTTCAACATCTTCATTAATGATGTGGACATTGGAGTCAGAATGAGACTGCCCAGGTTCG